CTAAAGCATTTGTTTCTTCACAACAAAATATTTTGTTTATTAGAACAAGCTGCTGTTTTATTATACAAATATTTTTGTTCCTGAACAATCATATGTTTTCTCACTCTCAGTGCAAAAATTAAGAAGTATATTACCTGGGGAACCTAAAATTAAAGGTGTTTTAACTGAATAAAGAATACATATTAACACATGGAATAAATTCTTTACAACATATTTAATTGGAAAGATTATTTTTATATTTTCATTTTGAATATTTTGAATTATTTTTGGTAAAAGTACATGGAATTATTAGAAGGTATTTAAACGGTAAGCATAAAGCATTTAAACACTAGTTCTACATTTAACAATGTGTTTTTCTTTTAAAATATTTTTTAATTATGTATTCAGTTTTAGTGTGCATACGCTTTACATTAATTTAGTACAGTTATGGAGTAAGAAAAATATGTAATACTATTAATATATAATTGACATAATATATATATATATATATAATATACAACTTCTACATTGTACATCCAAAGTAATAATTCTATTTCAATTAATTCTAGAATTCTTTACACAATTTTCGTTAAAACTGTATATAACTTATTAAATTATTTGAGAAATCTCATTAATTAAAATGCGCACTTTATCCTCATACTGTGGTTATTTGATAGACTGAGCCTTGTTCTTTTCGCAAAATCTCTGTCATTGGACTTACCTGTTGTGTTGAAACGAAGCACTATTGCACCAGCTAGCTATGAATCGAGATGCATGATCAACATGTTATTTCAACTAAGCCGTAATAAGAGACCCGGGCCGAAGTGGAGCACGTTATGGCAAACCTGCATAACAGGAAGTATGTTGGGTGGGTAATAAAAGGTATGCACCAGAAAGGCTACGCATTGTAAACACTAACATTCTGTTCTACCTGAGGCGAAACACTAACGACTAGGCAGGCAATAGGCCTATCATCAGAACGAAGACGCGAGGTGAGTTTTCTTGAAGGTCAGCGACCTTGAAGTACCGGCTGTTGAAGTTTTTCTGTCTAACCTTTGTTTGTAACAAACTATACTACTCTTCTTGGTTAGTTTCTAGTTATGAATTATTACTTAAATTTTCAAGTGTTATATTTATTTTATTCTCTCTCTCTCTCTCTCTCTTTTGTTAATTTGAAGTAACACTACAAACAGGGGCTTTATAGAAGAAATGTGAATTTACCAACTTTTCTGAAACATAATACACTAAATCTTGCCGTGAGCAACAGCTGAAAAGCACTGTTACAGTTAATTGCCTTGAGCAAAGCAGCGCAAACTCAAAAAAAAATATTCAGTTTTTATTTTGTTACCAGAAATTTCTGTTTTCTATGCTTGATTACAAATGGCGATTTTTATAAAACTAAAAAACAAGAATCAGTGTTGGAAACGTAAAAAATACTTAAAATATTTTGTTTGATAGTATTGTTAAAATTACATTTACAAACACTATTCAATTGATTTTCATATATACTTAATAAAAATATTATTAATTAATAGTATTTCTATTGGATAACTAGCATCAATGTAAGCGAACATATTCCAAAGTAATGCAAAAAACTTATAAATTTCTATATTTATAGCTGATTAGTACGGACAGGCCCCCTAAAAATACTGCACCAAATAGTTTGAAGCGTTAAAAACACCTCTATGTAACCACAATATATATATATCAGATAGATAGGTTTTGTTTGTTTGTTGGTAGTTAAATTATAGCTACACAATGAGCTTTCTGTGCTCTGCCCACCACGGGTATCGAAACCCGGTTTTAGTGTTGTAAGTCCGCAGACACTGGGGGGGGGCAATAGATAAGTGAACACAAATGTTGAGAAGTTATTTTAATGTTTTCTCTATCTCATGAGTTTTTAGTCTTTTTCACAATTATTTTGTTTTATGTGAAGAGTGTTTTAACTGCTAATTAAATAACAGTTTGACATAACGTATCACTCAAATTCTTTGAGTTAAATATGCATCTATGATAACATATGTTAACCTATTCTCTGATTTTTAAAAACAATTTAGCCCTATACACTGAATTAATCAAGCAACAAAAATATGTTTATTTCGTTATTATATTATTAAATACGTGTGTTCGAGCGTGTATATATTATATGCGTTGTATGAAGCGGAAAGTGTAACAAAATGAAATATTTGTGACGTAACACATGGCTTTGAAATAGTAAAAACGTCTATGCAGCGCTTAAAATTTTAGCTTAACAAAGGAAAAAAATTGCACACTAATATCAAATGTAAAGTTATGTTGGACAGTTATCTTTTATTCTTTATCATCTTATCATTATCATAATTTACAAACGTATGCTTTTGTAAAGTCAACTAAATCATTTATTTGTGAGTTTCAAGTGATATACATTATTATATCATTAGTTTACTTTACATATTTTTTCTCTGCTTATCAATTTTATATCTATCACACATGAAATTATTTGTAATATCTAAGTGTCGTGTATTATTACATTAATCTTAATAATTCATCACACTTCCGAATGGGGCAGTTTTCATCTTTTTGACGTCATCGATTCTGCAACATAGGTCATTTTCTGTGAAAACGTCTTGTTAGGCCTTATAAAAATAAGGCCTCTAAACAGTTTTAGACTGTGACGTAGTTTTTAGGAGCATTTTTGCTTCAATGAGTATCATCGCAGAAGTAAGTACATTGTAATTTATTTATACTGGTGACCGTTAGAATAACTAGTATATTTTTCACTCTTGAACTGAATAGTTATGTTTCGTAATGGGCTAGGCTAGTTACTAATAGTAATAGGTTAATATTATCAGTATCACTCGTAGTCTTAAATAACAGTATAGTAACATTAACATTCGTAGCTAATAACATCAGACTGAATAAATAAAAAGTGACATTACTTAACAGTTTATTAATACTAATAGTATTAATAGGTATTTGTGACACGCTCGCAGACTAAGCAATATTATTATTAAACGATTCTGTGTTATATTCTTATATAACCACTGTGACAGAGATTATTGAGAGAAGTACAAATATAAAAGTGCTCAATGTAGTATTATGTAATACTTCTAGTTCTAAGTTCTTGTTTTTATAAAATCAAAAATGCTTATATTTTGTTTATCAGGTTTTTTCAAACATTTATAACTTTGGTAAGTGTTTATTGTTGTAAACTCAGAATTGAGAACTGTAGATTAGTTCCATCAAGTTATTAATATAATTTATAAATCTCGTTCTGCTAATTTCATGTTTAATTTATCTAACTAACCAAGTAATTTCTCAGAAATTTATGTAGACACTGGAATATACTGATATAGGCATTGTCTTGATGTTAAATGTACAGGTATTAAGACTGTGGTCTAACTATTGGACTGCAGGTAACACAGCCAAATATTTGTTTGATGAAAGATCACTAAATGTATAATTTGTATCATGTAATAAACTAGCTTGAGATTGCAAAGTCTTATTTTAACAAACTGCTTACAATTGCTGACTGCAAGAATGTATGAAACACTTCCAATCTTTTTCATTCTGCCATTGTAACAGATAATCTCATTGAAAAATAGTCTGGTCTCCCAGCAGTTTTCAGTATATGTCTAGATTATCCAAGTATTGAATAATCTGAAGGATCTGAATCAAATTGCTTCTTCTTCTGTGTAAACAAGACACAAATGTTTATGCTTCACATTATAGGAGGAAAAAGCTAATATTGTTTGCTAAAAACAAAATGGTAATAACCAGTATTTTGGTACAATTGTAATATATACACTTAAAAAAAAAACATTTATCATGTCAATTTTAACTATTAAGACATGAAGAATCTGGCCCTATTTAGTCAGATGCCTATGAGAAGGATATGTATACTGTACTATTAACTCAATACCAGTAGTTGTATTAGAGTAAGCTTTATGCTACAAAATATTATTGCTTTATACATTGTAAAGTTTAACAAGACATTTGTACTTGAAAGTTGACAGTGTTAAAACATAATCACATCGAGTTTTCATGTAGCTCACATACATATAATTTAAGGACAACAAGGGACCTGTTGGCTCATTTAGGCTCTCTCATCCACTATACTAAACTCTAAACTAAAACATTTAAAGCCAACCTTTAGCATTCAAATATTTATCAAGCCTTCCCTTAAATTAACGACATCTGCCACATCTAAAGGCAACCCATTCCAAAGGCCTACCGTCCTATTAAAAACATAAAGCTGTCTTAGCTGAAAATGACATACCATTGCAAAATTTATATTTGTGTCCTTTAGTCTTACCATTTTCACCATTAAGTACAAAAAAGATAATGTATCAACAATATCAACTCCTTTAACAATCTTAAACACCTCAATCGGGTCCCCTCCAACTCTTTCTTTTTTAAAAAAAAACAATTTCAGAGTTCTTAAACTATTCTTATATGACAACATTTCCATTCTGGGGATCATCCTAGTGGCCGTCCTCTGAACCATTTTCTAACAATTCAAGATAAGGAGCTTAAAACTGAACATAGTACTCTAAATGCAGTATAACAAATTTCTTTTACAATGACATTATAACCTCTTTAGACATGTATTCACTATTAATTTAGATATAACCTAAAATCCCATTTGCCTTACCATCTGCAATAGCACATTGCTTGGATGGCTTAAGATACTGATCAATCAGTACATTAAGATCATTTTCTTCCATAAAACTAAGGTTATTTCCATCAAAATTATAATCGTAATTCAAACTGTGATATCCCACATGCATCACCTTGTATTAATTATAGTTAATAACTATCCTAATTATTTACCCAACTCACCAAATAATCCATACAAGTTTGTAAAGCAGCAATGTTCTTCTCACCCCGCCAACAACACCCAAAACTTTAAAATCATCAGCAAATTTAAGTAACTTATGGACTATTCTTTCATCTGTGCTATTGATGTAAATCACAAAGGTTCTAACATTGAACCCTGAGGTATCCCACTTGTGACATTAATCAAGTTTGACTGAACTCCATTTATAAAAACTCTCTGCTTTCTTCTATCCAGCCAGTTTTCTATCTAATAAGCCAACCTATTCCTCCCATATCTACAGAGAATAAATTTTTTAGCAAGCCTTTTATGTGGCACCTTGCCAAATGCTTTCTGAAAGTCCAGTAACCTCTTCAAAGAATGTTAAATAGTCAACATGGTTTCCCTAGGGGAAAATCTTACCTTAATAATCTTTTGACAAAGTTTTAAACTTTGTTAAATTCCTTTTATCAAACTTTCAAAAATCTTTTCCCACCACTGGTGTAAGACTGATAGGTGTATAATTACTGAAACAGTTTTTATGATCTGCATTGAAAAGGAGTAACATTAGCCAACTTTTAATCTTCTAGTGTCTGCCCACTATTTAAAGACTTAGAAAAAAATCTCATCACTCCTTATTTCCATATATATGCAGCAAGACATCAAATCTAATTGAGCAATGATCACTTGCATCGATTGTTCCCAATCTCCATCTTATCAACCTTTCCTGTATTAGAAGTTAAAAGTAAATCTAAAATAGCATTGTTCTTGGTAGCTTCCTTAATTAGATGGTGAAGAAAACCATCCTGAACAGTTTCTAAAAACTTACATCCCTCAAGATTTGAATTTAATGTTTCCAAGTCCATATGCCTGAAATTAAAACCTCTCATAATTATAACCCCATTAACAGTTGAATTCTTTATCTTACTGTTGAGTTTCTCATTAATTTCATGGTTTCACATGGTGGTCTATGACAAGTTCCAACTAAAATCCTTTTCCTCTAATAACCATGAATAGAAACCCAAACAGATTCAACCCCTTTGCTATTAACTTTGGTATCCACAACTTAACCAAAGATATAACTCATATTTTACATATAAAGCCACTTTTCCTTTTTTTTTAGTACTTTATCCCTATTAAGCAACCTATAACCCTGTATTTGAAAGCAATTATCAAAATTGTGTACATTTAACCAGGTTTCAGTTATTCTCATAACATCAAAATCTTCTGTTCCAACCATGTTCTGAGGCCATCCATTTGATTTCTTATACTTCTAGTATTACAATAATAAAAGTTAATCATAACATTAAATTTACTTTTTTATTTTGTTGCTACACTACACTTTTCTCTATCTTATTTTTTATTCATTATTCTGGCTCTTACCACTGTCTAAAGTTGAGTTAATAATATTTGTGAACTATCCAGCCCTTACCCTATTTAAATGTAGAAATGTTGTAACCCAAGAGATTTACCCCCCCCCCCCAGTACCGAATACACACAGTAAAATACCCCATACAGAAGGCAAGCACAAGTACTTTGCTTTGAACTTTGTACAATAATGAACTATACAACATACAGTTTGCACACTGCTGTCCACCATCAACTTCTAACAGGTTTCATCAATGATAATAAATTGCACAAAGATAAAGCCATGTGAAAGTATCGCATGATTAACCCTTTTACCTCAGGTAGGTCAGTGTGTGAAGAGATAAGTTCAAAACTTAATTAAACTACTTCATTTTGAATGTATATGAATATACTTGGCATTAGAAGGTAGATAATATATCAAATTGTAGTATTATGTAAGTTCTTAGTTTTATAAGGAAATACTTTTAAAACAATTCTCAATCTCACTTAGCATGAGAACTGTGATGTTTATTATCTATGTTTTCCCTCCTCTTTAATTTTTTACCACACTTCTTAGAAATATGAAATTTAATGTAAATTACTCATTATAATGTTGTCATTGCTCAGGCAAAGCATAAGTTGCATAGCCTTCAATCTTATTTAGTTAGAGCAATAAAATAGAAAATTAGACCCCTCTTGCCACACTCACCCATCACATCCTCTCTTTCAGAACTTGCTGCTAGTTCTCTCTGACATTTAAGGCTATATTATTTATAACCAATAGAAAGCTAAAGTTTTTCTCTACCAAATGATGTTTATATTACTTTCTTTTCGGTACAGAAAATTGTCTGTTTTCATTCCGGTTCAAACTTTATTCCCATGGAAAAATGCATCGACAAGCTTAGCTGAATTTTTAACAGCTTTTGTCCCACAGTTAGAAAGCCAGAAATATTGTGTTAGTTATGGAATATTGTTTTCTTTTTGTGTATGTTATTATTCTTTGTTCTTTGGTGCATTATTTAATTAAATAAAAAATTATTTAATGTATTAGTACCATTAGCATAAAAAAATAGGGTTAAGTTTCATCAACAGTCAACACCAAAAAAAAAAGAAACCTGGGTAAGTACTTTATTTCTTGTTTTTTTATGTATTCTTTATTTATTATTATAAAGTAACTAAAATGTAAAAATTAAAAACTTTTTAGGTTAGATAAAGTAAAATAAATAATAATAATTTTATGAGGTACTCTTACGAGTAGTCCATGCATCATGTAATTCGACACCGATACCGTAATGTGAGCTGCCTGTTCACTATGTGACTTGCAATTTATATGGCATGAACATTAGTCAGATATGGTTCAAAGGGCAATAAACCAATGAAATTTAAGTATAAATAAATATATATTGTTACAAGCTTTAAGCTACTTAGAATAAACAATTGTGGTTTTCTGTTATAATTTTCAATCATTCCAGAAAGAAAGTAGGTGAAATTTAGAAGAATTATTTCATAATTAATTATGGTGGTCACAAGGTTGGTCAAATCAACCAACCTTGTTTAA